TGACATTTTGTCTCCCTCGGCAACTCATGCGTGGGCGTCAATAGAGCTCGTGTTAACAGAATGTCACAACAAAAAGGCACAGGGCTTGCGTTTAACCTTAACGAATTTAAACGTATTTTTATACGAGCAGGTTACAATAGTCGAGCAGAACAATGGGAATATTAAAAGAGGTTATTTTAAAGGACCTGTTATGTGTACGGGGGTTCGTACTAGTCCGGACAAGCCAGGGCCGTACTTGGATTTCATTGAGCGTAAAAAAATAGAACAATTGTAAAATTTATAATGAAACCTAGTCGAAAACATTCTTTAGTGTAACGCTTTTCATTGTTGCCTTTGGGCGAATGTTGAAAAAAATATTTACAGGTTTATACTTGCATGTAGAAAATAATCTTCCTGTACTTACTGACAGAGATAAGAAGTTTATTAGTATAGAAATCTATATAGTAATGTCGTTATCCATCGGTGTCAGTTACGGTCTGTTTTTAACATTCCCTTAAATTCTGCACTAAATCACTTTTAAATCAGGAATATAAAGGATTCTTTAAAATTTGTCAGTGAAAGATACTGTTATTCTAAAAAATTTACATCACAAAAACCACTATATGCATATTAATTTGCAGTTATCTAATTGCTTATCTCACTATAGAAATTTTGGAGAAAATTTTATTTTCCCTTATGGAGAAGTTGAAAACATCACGAATCAGAACTAAATCGTGACTAAAATAAGGAAAAGAGTCCCTCCGGATGCGAATAAAGTGTTGCAATCTATAGTCTGAATTATAAATGGTTTATAAATGTTTATATCATTGATATATTCTCAGTTTTTAATTCCTATTCGAAAAATACTGTGTGATTCTGTCGATATATAAAAGTTTTTATAAGTTTTCGATTTTTGAACATTGTAGAACATTTTTTGTACAACTCAGTTTTGTTTATTGCTCAACTATGTAGTTTGTACTCTGATCAATACCTTTGAAAATCATCTGGATTCTTTAGTGCCTACTAATTTTTTTATCTGTCTTCTATTTTTATTGTTTAGAATTTTTATTGTGACCTTTTTGTGTCTGTTGTCTCTTTGAGCTTATTTCTGCCAACATTATAAACACATACATTTTTCCCATTTTTTTAGTGTCTAAATATATACTTTGGCACCCAAAAATAAAGTTTCCTTTGCCTTACATCTTTTAGATTTTTGAAGAAAATCTTGCCAAAAATTGCATTTGTCAGTTGTTATATCATAAGCTGCTTTAATGTTACTATTTATTATAATTAATATATTCTTTTAAGCATTATTCGCTTCTATTTGTAATGGCAGAATGTTTGGTATATTTTCTTCGAGCTTTCAGCAAATCTATGTTTGAGGACTTTGCTATGGGTTTATTCACTCGATACTCTATGCCTATTAGCTGTTGTCTCAAGTTATTTATTTGCAGTATTTATATCCTGAATGAGCTCGCTTTGCTTGGTTTTTGTCTATTAACTCTGTTATTATCATAAATGATCAGTATGGTTTAGACATTTTCTCTAATGTTGGTAAAGTGTCTTCGCCAGAATACAAATTTTTCTTTTCGACGTCTTAAAATGTTTTTAAGTAAAGATTAAGTGCGGTTCAAAACCGATTTAAAAAAATTGCCTTGAATCTAATCCTTTATAACAGGATTACGGGTTTCCTAGGAAAGGATTAACTAACAGAGTTATTTGAAACCTTATTTTTCCTTACAATCGGGTTCAGTGTCAAAGACGGGTAGGGTATTTTTGTGTTTCAGGGCGACTATTTTAAGCAAATCGCTGCTCATAAGATTAAGAACGTTGTTCTGGCAAAGTGCAATACCTCTTTGTCGTACCTATTCTATATTTCTAAACAGCTGTTTCGCCTGCAAGTTCACATAGTTTTTTAAATTAAATAAGGATTTTAATTTATGAGATTTTTATACCTGTGTTATTTAAATGTATACAAATAATATTTTTACGTCATGGAACATGCCTTTCCTTGCACATAATTATTGCGTTTACATATGTAGGTCTTCAGGCCATATAAACGATTATATTGTACATATAAAAGTAGAAACTAATTACTTTAAACATTAATTATGTACAAATTAAAAATGTATGCAATACACGATTGCTGCGTTTCATACAATTTTCAAATAACAGTTTAGTAAAGGGACTGCGTTATTTTCATATAGTTTTGTTTTCTCGATTTGTTGGCAATTTGCAGTAGGTACACATACATTTTACTCCTTTCGTGGTGCTTATACAGGGTGTACAAGAAACGTTGGCAAAGTTTTTACATGTTTTTAAAGTGTAGACATTGCCTTTTATCCCTTCCCCTGAAAATTCCAAGTAATTTGCACACAGTCTCAGCTACACGCTCTCCGCACTTCGGAATGAAAATAGCGCACAATATATAATTTTTATTTGTACATAGACATATTTTGTCGTCAAGTGTGACATTGTCATATCATTCCCTAACCCCTACCGATTGGAACAAATTATACCTCATTTGAAAGATCTTCCGAAAGAAAAATTCGTCGTTAGGTTACAGTCTGCTCTCTATTTCTTACGGATTATTTTTGTGAACCGAAATCGAACTTAAAAATAAACTCGTGCTTACTGTCGCTTGCAGTTGGTGGAAATTTGTTTTCATAGTAAATGTACTACGTCCATTCAGCTCGATAAAGAAATTTCAGTCTGGTAAAGAGAAACGTTAACGAGTATTGTCTCGAAATAACTAGAATGAATTAAATGTCTTTCAACTATCAGTGGAACGCATGGACAGGACAGGTTTGTACTTTCATTATAAATCAAATTAAAGTCAACATTCATTTCCATTTAAAGGTGATTGTGAAATATCGTGGATATATATACCTACGTGCATTTTATCATGTTGTGGTATATGTTCAACTTATTGTCTTTAAATGACAAAAAAATTGAGGAATTAGATTATTGTTAGCCATTGTTTGTTATCGGTAACAGGAATAATAACTGTTGGGTTTTTTAATATCGCGTTTGGTATTTGTCTTTTAATATTTTCGAGATACCTACTAAGTATTATAGCATTAAATATACTTCAAAATGTCTACAACTAGTTTATATACAGGAGATTCTTATAAATACAATTTTGTAAAAAAAATCAAAAAGGGCTGTTCGAAAATGATTTAATGTACACTTCTGCACGACACAACTGTTCAAAATTTTGTCTACCGACGTGTAGACACATTTGAGCCCGTCTTACCCAGTTTCTACGAATTAACACAAATGTTGTCTTGCTTTACTGTAACACAAATGTTGTCTTGCCATAAATTAAATCGATATCCATCAACTCCGAGTTGCTTTACACGTCAGCCATTATTCTACTTGAAAAACTAATGTAAACACTATCGCAAAATCGGATTTCAGTGGAAAGAGAGCGCATTGCGTACAGCCATTTTATTTAAACAATACATATATTTTTTTTTACAAATAATTAACAAAAAACATTAAAAAATTACAAGTGTGAAGTTTATAACGACCAATAAGGATATACTTAATGTTTAAAAAAGTCATAAAAATATATAACTGTAAATTTCCTGTATCACTTTATTGTTCTATTTGTTTTTTTTATCACTGGCCACCACAGAACTGAGCTTCTTTTATTACATGTAAATAACACTATTTACGTCAAATACTATAACATTCCTACCACGTTACTAATTAAATAAAGGTGAATCTCTGAAATAAATAAAACAATGATTCTGCGACTTACAATTTACACAGTGAACCTCAAGGTAGTCAACTTTAACAAAAAGCATTGTACAATTCATAAGAAATATCTACTGACGGCAGATACAAACCACAGAATTAGTTGGCTACAAAAAAAGCGTTAACTTTATAATGAAGATTGTAATTGAGGTGAAAAAATTCAATGCAAGATAGCAAAGATTTTTTGAAAAACGGATTTAAGCTGTTTTTGAATCAGTTTTAAAGTTTCTAAACGTAAGAAATGATTTTTAAAATTATAAACTCCAGAAAAGCAGATATTACGTAAAAATTTATGTATATTTAATTGTTTCACCTGCTTTTAGCTCAATCTTTTATCTAAAATATTTCTAGAAATTCAACTAAATATTCCATAACTTGCTGTGGTTGAATTTTTTATACTTTCTTAATAGTTTCCTACCCGTATCATTTATATCTAGCACATAAAATGAAATTGGTCACAAGGAGGCAGAGCTATTATTAATATCATTAATTTATTGCAAATGTTTAGAGGAAATAATTTTTATTTTTATTTTAATACATGAGAAATAAAAGAAATAATATGTAAGTCCTGTCAAATAAGTAACAATAACTGAATTATTTTGCCGACCAATATTTATAATACAACTGGTGTTACCAGTACAATTTCCCATGGTATTTATTTTCATATTGATTTTTTAATGTGCAAATACAATTCTTAGATGACTAATACCGGCACATTGTATTCAAAATGAGTTCATATGGATAATCAGTAAACAATGGTAGGCACATACCTATTTTGTTTAATTAAAACATCGAATTCCAGCCAAAAAAAAACCTGTACTGAAGTAGGTTACACTTATACACCATCTACCACCACCACCCTACTGTTAATCTATTAAAAGAAGTACATATTTATTACTGGGACAACGCTGTCGTGTTAAAAATACATTATTATTATTAAAGTTAATCCTCATTGGAGGCACATATGCAACAAGACTGAAATAAAATGAGAAATGGAACAAGTTACAGTAATTGAGGGTTTTACACTGGTGGTATTTTACTAATTTAAGGTTGCATTTCTGCAGAATCCCCTTTAAGCAACTATTCATTAATTAATATACGGTGTGATTTCATTTTAAATTAAGAAATTGCGCGAATGATTTCCGTTTTGAAAAATAAATACTCTGATCCAAAAAATGGCCTGAGAGGCTTAATTTTGATCATAAGTTCTCAATTGTCATTAATATCGTTTGGGTTTTATTTATTTATTTTTGTTGCAGGTAATATCAGTGCGGTATTTATTTACAAATGGAAGGGAGAAGAATTAGCGAGCAAACTAGACAACGGCTCAAAAGTGTACGTCCATATCACAGTCGCTGGTCAAATGTCTTCTAGAACAGCGAACATAAATAGGTAAGAGCTGCTTCGAAATTTTTAGGTCACCGATGTTTTCCTTAGGTGAAAGTGACTATATGGTGACACAGAAAAGAAACAGATAAACACTGTTGCCTGAATTAGTTACTTGACCCCAAAAGAGTATTGTTTGTTTAACTGAGAATAAGACTAACTTTTCGAGAGGGTAAAGAACACCTTCGTAGTTTCAAGTATTTGGAGAGCTTCATTAATAACATATTGCCAATTCGCTGTTACTTTTTGAAATGTCCTTTGTAATTTATGTTTTTGTTTGTTTTGTTTTTTGGGTTGTAATATTGAATTGAAGCTAACTTAAAACCATATACATTAAATAAATCATGATATCTCGTTAAACCAAGACCTTTATCAAAATTTTGCTAGAGAAAAAAAAATTTCATTTAAAAAATAATGTCCTTGAACCATATACGTAAAAGGAAAAGTTGAGGAGGTCAGAAGATACGCCAAAATTGTACAAAAGTTGTATCGATAAAAAGTGTGCAAAATTTAAACTTTATATCTTGAAAAAAAAGCATCAAACCTGTTAAAAATATTTTTTAGTTGTAATTTAGACACCCTGTATCTTCAAACGCCTGATTGTAAGAATAAGTATGACAGATTATATATTGTAAAATAAAAAGAATTTGGTATCTTTTTAGATCATGGATAAGAGTTATTCCCATTAAAAAAAATAATAGGTTCGTTTCAAAGCTGCGAAATTACAGAATTTACTAAAGTAATGTGAAAGCCCCTAATTTCTACGCTGAAAAGTTCATAGGGCAGTTTGTTCTTTAAATGTAACTCATTTAGCGGCAGAGATAAGGAGTTGGTCGAAAATGTCGAGATAATTAATATCCTAACTAAACAAATGAAGACGTTAATTGTATGATTTAGCAGTTGATTTTGTCTTGAAAATCAACCTCGAAACCTTGAAAAAACGCCGAAGAATAAGATTTATCACTTTTTTGAACTTCTTTATGCTTAATTCTAAAAAATAATTAGCATTGTAATAAATTTAAAATTCCACAAAATTCATATCGAGCAATGTGACAACGGCGCGGCCGATAACACGAGGTACTAAGATGTCCAGCTTGTCCGTAATTCAGTTGGTATCTGGAATTGGACCGTGTCTGAGTGTTTTTTGCGTAACACTATTTCCTTTTCTTGTGGTGTTTCTCTTTGCTTTTTTAAAATGTTTACCATACGTGATAATTTTCCAGCGAGTGGGGTGGACATTTTGAGCATATATTGTAGTTTGTTTTGTACTTGTGCGTTTAAAAATTACTGAAATTTGTTTTTGGTAAGTACCTAAATAATTTTTAAAACGTATGATTATTTGGATGACGTGAATCTTTGGGTACTTTAATTACATATTTTTCAAATTCATAATTTGATTAAAAGTCAAGTTCCTGTTTTAAGAGATTCATAATTACTAAAATTCGAGCTAAAATTTAAGCACAACACTATCTTCGCACTACAAAATCGGTACATTTTATTTTATTTATTTAAAAACTGGGAAAAAATGTCTTGGGAGTTTACTAAATGTTACACAGTAATAGTTGTTTACATTTTTCCCGTAGGACAAGTTTGCCGCGTTCACACTTGGTATGCATCAGCTGTGTTGCGTTAGGATAAGCGCTGTTGTCACGTTGTGATGAAACTCCCCAATATTAATACTCGCTGTATTTTGAAAACTGTTAATCTTACGCCGATAGCAATATACTTTTTTATTCATTTATAATTATTCTATCTCATGCTACAGCAGTGGCAGTCAAGCTTCGTACACTCTGTATACATGTGACTGTTCAAAATAAAGTTACACTTATTTTTTAAAGTATATACCTACTACAGTTATTTGATAAATATATGTACAGGGTACCGTTTAGAATTTTCAATTCTTTTTTCTGCCCATCGAATTTGACTCACTGCACATTCTACAATGAGAGAACGTGGCGAGAGGGAAATTGTGAAAGAGGTCTCAAACCGAGTGAAAATTAAAACAGGGCACGGTACCAGTTTCGTTGCATCGCGAGACCAACGCAGTCTTGCAATTAGCGACTGTATAAATTGAAATAGGCCGACCTTAATTACCATTCCATTGTCTTGCTCAGCTCAGTTTAATAAAGTAATAAAGGCTTAGCTTTGTTTAATAGTAGGAACTTCCGAGAAGGTATCGTAATCGATAAAGTTTTACTTGAGTCAAAGTAATAGGCAAATTTATATGAAAAGCTCGAATCGAGCTTTATGTCTGGATGAATCTCAAATTTCAAATTAAATGGCTAAATCCCTATATCCTTCGTTTTATGAGTTAAATATACAACGTTATTGTATTCAAAATACTAATGAGGATGCGGTTTTAAAAGCAAAAAACTTCTTTGCGATTATTTTTACACGTGCTAAAATCAGTTTGTTGCTTCCAAGTGAAAATGTATACCCCGGGCGAAGAGAAAATATGAAAGATATCAATGACACTTGAACATTACGGACGAATAAAGAAAAATACATCAAGTACGCTTAAATTATAGAATCAGCGTATATTTAATATGTTTACTTTGATTGCGGAGTTAAACCACAAGAAACGAAGTCATTTATTGGTTTGGTAATTATTTACGCAGGTATTTTTTTTATATTTTGATGCCTAGCTAGAGGATTTTTTATAAGGCTTAGAAAAGAATATGTACAAGTGCTGTTCAGAAAATAACCGAACTTTATTTTTTTAAACTATTAATTTTAAATATTATTGGTCTTTCGTCCCTTCAAAGTACTCCCCACTCTTATTTCACGCGCTTTTCCCAGCGGGTTTTCCATTTCACGAAACAGTCGTGGTTAGATTAATTTGAAATGGTCATCAGTTGAAGTCGAGGAAGCAATGATTTCGGTTATTTTCGGAACATACAGAATCTGTGTTTGAGCATTCCTATACCATCTTTCGGACTCATCTAAAATAAACAGACTCTTGAAGTCAGAATCCCAATAAATAATGTAATACAATAATTAATTATAACTTCCGAAACATTAACGGAAACAGTAATATTAATATACCGGAAACAAATTAAAAAGCACTTATTTTCGGTAATTAATTTAATTATTTATTATACAAAGTAATTAAATTTCAAACCTGACAGCTCAATAAACCTACTCGTTTCAAAGTAGACGTGAATCATATCCATTGCCAAATTCGACCGATATCGTTCTCGGTCAATATTAGACCTTTCCACCAAGAAACGACAATGTCTACAGCGGTTGTTATACAGCGGAACAGATAAAAACAATGTATTTGTCTTGTGTCTCTCCTACATTTGGCAAAGCAAAACGCCACATTCTGCCCTCTATACGGACGTTATCGATTCGTCCTTGCGTATCTGGGTTAAGGGCGTACTCTATTAGGTTTTTCTGTTTTAATTACGTCCAATCTAATTACCGACGTAAACACTTGAAAAAAAAGTAGCTGAATATTCCGCGGCGTTGCGATTTGTTCTATACGGGGTGTTCTGGGTGAGAGCGCGGTAAAATTGGGTGGAATCGGGACCCAAGTTGTAATTCTAGCATTTGTTTCAATTTGAAACGAGAAAAAAACTTTTAACTAACCTATTTTTGAACAATTTTCTCTCAACAGATTGAGTAAAATACTGCGAAACGCATTCATCAACATTTGCGCTAACCAATACTATTGGCTGTTGTTGACAGTGCCAACTCGGCAATATAATAAGACAGTATTTTCCCACTTTAATATTTTATCACAATTTTTTGTATAAAGTTGAAGAATAGGTATACCCTAGGCATTTTTTTCATATAGAGGGTTATATGGATAATAAGGCACTGAAGTCAGCAGGGTACTTCGTCAGTTATTATCCTATAACACCCGTGGGATCGTCAACGTTTAATGTCCTATTACTCTGTTTTTATATAGTATGACATTTGTTTGATATTTCTCATTTGATGTATCTTCTAATAGCAATTGAAAAATGTTGAATGTTGAATCAAACAAATAAAATAAACATAAATTTTGTATGATGTCCAAATTTTCTTGTTTTTGTTGTTCCGTGAAACCACTTTTTAAAAAACCTTTTTCAAAACATCCACAATTTTTTAAATTTTCAACAGAGCAGGATTTGATCGCCCTGGTACTTCTGCAGTGTAATTATACTGTTTATTAGCTTTATTTTTGTTTTATATAATATTTAATATAGAATGTCGTTTGTAGAAATGTACCCTATTTTAATAAAAGCAACTTACGTTACATTTCATACCTAAATAATAAAAAATGCCACTAATTGAACAGGGCATTTTGTCTTACCTCCTGTATAGACATCTATACAGACTATCTCTTTAATATTTATGGGACGAAACTAAAAAAGTTCGTTAACATGTCACGTCAATTGACGCAGAGAAATTTATATTCAGACTGTGCCAGATTTTGCTTACCTGTGTTCTTTTATCAGGTAAACTTTTATGGCAAACTCTTTATTACACTATTTGAGTGTGTGTACAGATCTCAGTTCAAACACAGCATAATTTATAATTTTTTATATTTCACATTAGCATTCTACAACCTTATATTATAAAATTTTCCATATAAATCATAAATGTGTTAGCGACGTAATAACCCGCGATTCTCTTCAAATTTTGCATTGGCATTTCTGATAATATTTTCCGTTCCGTTTTAAATGTCGGAACCTCATCGTTAATAATCTTTTTTACCCGAAAAAATATGACATGTATCAATGAACAGAAAAACTTATTCATCATATTTATTCTTTATTTCTTCAAATGCCATAGATATATTGGGTTCAGTTGATTGATGGTTTTCCGTTCGCAACAAGTCAAAAACTTTTAGTAAATATATGCAAGCAATCACTGCGAATGTCGTTCCCACAAAGCACAAACCATACATATTTTGTGGTTACTATTTTATATATTACAAAATTAGTAGCAGTAGATTAATTGCTTGTTGTGGTTGTCTACAATATTTTGATAGAACTGGCCGTAACTTTTTTTGCGTGAAAATGCAACATTAATCATGCTTTCTCAATGCATTGATTTATCATAAAGTTTATATGGGCTAGTTTTACGGCAACTTTACGAGAGTTTCCGAGGTGGGAGCTAATTATTAGTTTTCTTTGACGTAGTCATTTATTATTCTCTGACGTTTTATAGGTACCACCGTTAAGAACATTTAAAGTATTTAAATCATTTTATCCGTAAAATGTTAACACAATAGAGGATCTTAAAATACTTTCTAGTGAAATGTATCACATTAGACGGAGATACTTTTCAAGCCTTGACACATGACTTGGCAACCCGCAAATTAATGAGGAAATTAAATTTTATAGGACGACTCCCAAAGAGAGCTTTTTAACAGGAAAAAAATGTGGGTATGTTTCTGGAAAAAATATAATTGATGACGTCATTAGTTGGTTCTGTCAAATCACAAAGATAATACTTTCCATTGAAAATGGAGCTTACCTATTCCATTTAAACCACGTTTCCCAAATTTTATTTAAATTTTTTGTATCGCAGTAGGTCCACACCTTGCACCAAATCAGTATCTTCACATTTAACCATAATTTTTTATTACTCAAGGTGCCCATTTTCTGCTGATCATTGTCACAAGTTTTGAACAATTTCCATCAATTACTGCAGTTGTGTAGCCGCTAAAAAAATTATTAATGACTCTGCCTTTTCCCACTACACTTCTCGTCGTTTGTGCTTGTTTTAAAAGAATTAAGTATCAAATTGAAATGGAAAACTTATTTCTAGAAACCGCATTTAAAGAGACATGTACCTCGCAGGTGGATACAGACTTTGATCCAACAAAAGCATCCGCAACAATAATCCTTTGTGATGTAACAGCGTACTTGAATAGATCTGCTTAGGCAGTACCGGTAATAAACACTTGCAACACGCCGTATTTCCATATACTCTCAGTTTCCTGTATGAGGCAAATGTCAACATCACATCAGCCTTATTTTGTATAATTTCCTTGAGCGATCCCGGGTCTGATACGGATAGGTTTCGGTCTCTATTAAACTTGACCTCACCGGGAATTGGCTCTGCCCACCATTGTAGCACTCTTTATCAGGTGGGTCATAGAGATTGCCTTTTTTTTCAACGTGTAGCTACATTCTGGCACCGAGTAATCAGCTAGGCCTTGATCGTAGGACTGTCGTGTTTTGTAATATGTAATTGTTTCAGAACAGTGGCGGAGGTACCTGAAGGGAACTGTCGAATGAGTATTTTGTAGTAAATTTCGTCTAATATTGCAAGTGAGAATTTATATTAACTTGAAGGTGTCTGTTCCATAACAGGAAAATTTTTGAGAACAATCCATAAAACGGCATTATTTTGAAATAACGCCATCTATAGGTTTCCATATTGAGGTAAATTCACCACGAGATAAAGCATGAAAAGCCCTTTCCAACGAGGTATAACACTATGGGCTTTTGATGAGCCAATGACCCTGTACAGCTCAGATATAAAACTTGGTATTGATTGTCACAATTACATTGTGAATTGTTAATTTTGTTGTTACTGTTTAAAATGGTACTATAGGTATTATATCAAGCGATTATTCAGGGTCATTTTGTGGTGAATATTATCAGAGATTAGAAATATTTTTTTGACATTCCTTTACCTGGGCATCGCTACACATTGTAACGGTTAAATTCGTCTAAAACAAACACTGGTGCACAGTACGTTCATTGAATTTTTAATTTAATAACCTTCCAAAATGTGTGTCGGTGTATCAGAAATGTAACTAGGTTAATGAGAAAAAAGAACCGTGCGTAATTAAATTTTTAAGTAACTAAGTAATTATTCACTTAACTTAAGTAATTATTCACAATCGCCGTTTTAATACTAATTTATTATTTGCAAAATTTTAGAAAAAGATTCAGTTAATGGATATTTTCGTCTTTTTGTAAAGTACTTTTGCATTTTCCTCGAGAATTCACGTATGATTTGAATGTTATTGAAGGATATTCCCTTGATACAGCTCACCAAATTGATTGACATATCGGATTTAACGTTTCATCAGCTGTAAAGAAGAAACCGAGCGTACGGGTGGTTTTAAATGTAAATATATGACGCAAATAATAAATGTTTGCGTTATCATGACTGATTAACGACGTTATGTAAACATTGCTAATTGTTAAAAACTAATATCAATAATCCTTTTAAATACTATAAATTATCACACGATAGAAAAAAAAACATTCTAAATTAAAAAGAGATTAAACTCGATGTGTGACATTTATGGAGTGTTCCAAGCATTTTTTTTTAATAAATTCAGTGTCAATTAAGGATAATCTTAAATATTATGATAATAGTGCGCGTAAATAAAACTTTTTCAACAAAATAAAAGGGTGTGATGTACGTAGAATAGTTTAGTGTTTACTGTTAGTCAAACTTGCTAATTTTTTCCTATTTTGAATGTCAAGCTTACAAACAAAAAAGAAGACATTTCTGACGTCAAATAAATATAATAATTTCGATTTTTCTGTTGCATATATTTACTCTGAGAATTGTTGACAACTTGTGACTTTTTATTATTATTTATTACTTTTTCATTTACTTTACGTTAAACTACCAGTCCAAAATCATTAATCCTTATATTTTATTTGGTTATGGACCTAAGAATAGACCTTTACATACAAAGCGTATTTGAAAGGTTGCATATTAAAAGATTTTAATTCATATTAATTAAGGCACTGCCCGAGTAAGGCCTTCAACTATACAGGGTGTGCCACTTTAGTTCAGAAAAAAATTCAAGAGTAGGCTTGCTTAAAATAATGTGGGGACATCTCAAATTCAGCTCCAGCTTAAATAAATTTACTCCGGAAAATGTCCCTGTGGCATATATCAAATAAAATTTGTAAACAATTTTTAATTGTTTGTTATATTAAAAGGAAGAAAAACTTTAACGTCCTGTATCTCGGAAACGGCAAAGAAAAGGCAATGATAAGTCACATGTTTTTTTTCTGCGGTGTGAAAATATACAACAGCTATATTTGGAAATATCTACTTGAACAGATACGTTAGTTATGTAAGCCCGTTCGTAGATATTATCCTCAAGGGTAAGCATACTGAAATTCTCTCATTTTCCAAATCATTTTACATTGGTAACAAGTAAATATATGTAATAAATAATATGCCGTTGTAATTGAATGAATTATTTATAAAATTACGTGAATATAATGAACAACTTTCACTATCTAACTAAACCTTGTAACCTTGAAGAGATACTCAAGGATTCACAGTCAAACAAACATTGCCTTTATTTGTAACTTTGGTCGAATTAACATAATTTTAACATTTGGTTCTAAATAGGATTCTTATCGCGAAATAACGCCACAGCACCAGGTAGATATATTCCATGTGTTATTTTATGCTCGGGCTTAAATATTTGGCAAAATGGAACTGGTACACAGACAAAAATAATACCCGAATCAAGGATATATTTATATACTTATGTAAGACCATGCCATGATCGTGAATTAAACAAATACATGATATGAGTATGCTATATTCCCAAATAAATGGAGTTTTTATCAAAATAATATTTTTGTCTATTTACATATTGGTATCGATTGTAACGACATTTAACACAGAGTTACATATTAATAATTAAACTTATTTAGTTACAATAAAAAATAAAATTAAAAATTTAATTTTAAATATGTGAACTCTAAAATTTATAGAGTAGGACAATACACATATTATTCCCTCAATTGAGTAAATACGCGCTAGATCACTTGGAAGTACCAGATCAGCTCTTATGAATTTTAACCTCACTTTGCAAGTACGTACATATTTTTTATTGCAAGTCAAATCCAGTCTAATAATAATAGAGCTAATGTATGTCTTTAACAACATATTTGCCGTTATATTTAGAGCAGGTGAAAACAACCGTAACTGATCAAACAATATGAAATTTATCAAAGTTTTGCTGATAACTGAATCAATTAAGTAAATATATGGAACCTATTTCAATTTTGAATATACCGTACATATACGTTCGTAAATAAACTGAGCCATGTAGGCAATTACTATATACCTTTTATCACACGGTGTGCCAATTATACTATGTAAATTGTTGTGGTACGTCGTATTTTGTGAATAATTAGCATGTTTTCTTTTTTTTTTGCAGAACGTCAGTGTTATTTGTCTCGATAACATTTATAGTGCTAATGATAATATCACTGACATGGTTGGTGTTCTATTATGTGCAGCGGTTCAGGTACATACGCACCAAGGATAAGATGTCTGTAAGTATGCTAACGAGTTTTGGCCAATATTCGGCTAGATTTTTTTCGAAAATGCCCTGAATTGTTCATAATTATATAAAAATATAATGAAAAGCCATTACAAGTAGGTGTTTTGAAATAAAACACACAGGCTTTGTCTTTTAAATTGTTAACAATGCATTGGATTAAAACAGAGATCTTTTTCGCAATAATTCAGAAAAATAGCTTTCCCAACTCCACTTGAGTAAAAGATTAAATATATTTGCTTGTTTTATCAATTTTATGTTGCATACCAACAACACTTCTAGTGTTTTCGACTTTTTTGCGCTTGGACACCCTGTACAATTGAAAGTAATTCTATAATCTGGAAAGAATTACAGAAAAATCTGTCTTAAGTCACACTATAAAAAATTGTGTGGAGTAATTTTAGAAGGATTTTAATTGTTTCGAAGATAAGCAAAAAACATATTTATTTTATTTCAGAGAAGACTAGGCAATGCGGCTAAGAAAGCTTTGTCCAAAATTCCTACAAAGAATTTGAAGGCTGATGATAAGGTGAGCTGAAATAAAGGGAGAATGGTTAAAAATTTTACAATTATTATAATTGTTATTTTTTTTATTCGTAATATTCTTTCAGGAAATGCAAGGCGACTGTGAATGTTGTGCTATCTGTATAGAACCTTACAAATTATCTGAAACGCTACGATTATTGCCATGTGGGTAAGTAAATGTTTTAAAATCATTAAATTTTTGTTTTGCATCTCTGTTTTTCTGTTTCCAGGCACGAATTCCACAAAAACTGCATCGACCCGTGGCTGCTGGAGCACCGGACTTGTCCCATGTGTAAGATGGACATTCTCAAACATTACGGACTCGTGGTCAGTGTAGTCCCTTATTCAACAAGCTATACCTACTAGTATAGTCCTAGAAACACTTTTCTATCTGTGATATAGGTGATAGCACATACACATTACAACCCCCTTTTTTCGTAGATCAATTGCTAAACGCACTTTAACACTTGGTGGAGGTAATTCCTTTGTGTTTAATTTTTGTTGCGTTGTAGATCGTAGACGTGTGGTGTGGGGCTGTCGGCATATCGAAAATGGTAAGAGTAAGTCCTAAAAAACTGAAATTATTTAATTCCCACCGCAGAATTGATTGTTTTTGATACAATTTCCAGGTTTTTTAGTTTTTTTTTTTAAAACAATAATAAAGTAATAACTGTTTTAGAATTGAGCAGCTTTCCTCTTAAATTCATATTATCTCTACCATTTAGATACGTCAATAGCCATAAAAATTATGAGCTTTTTGCTTAACAGTGCTTGTGCGAGACAATAATCCTTAATGTCGTTAAAATAATTTACTAACATGACTACTACTTTCATAAATACGGGGGGTGTCTGATAACAAAAAAAGAACGGGAAATGAAGAACATTCTGTATCTCTTAAACGAATCATGGCAATGAAAGCGATTTTTTTTGTCTATCTCCTCTGTAAATACGAAAAACTCACTGAAGTATCGGATTTGCTCTACCCTGTACAAGTCCCGATAGTACATTTATTATCGAGAAAAAAAGAAATCGCTTCTCAAAACATTAAATACCCTTTTGTTCCCCCAAAAATTGTAAATTTATAGACTTCGGAGAAGAGAGCCTATTTTCAGGATTTTTTAAATGATCTTTAATGTTTTAATGATCAATTTTTTAATCACTAAGCTTCTTTCACGCTTCAATGTTTAAAAATGTTTTTTGTATTTGTAAATGCAAGTTATTACCAATTACTGTGTATCAAATTTGAAAAAAATTGCTCGAATATTTGATTCATCCTTGTTCTCGGGCTAGGCTATGTGTGGGCGGACCCACTGTCAGAAGTTCCATGCCCACCCTGTTGTTCATTTTGGTTATATCGTTGATCCTAAAGGCGCTACAGATAGAACTGTGCTCCAGAAAATGGTGGTTCTATTTGTTGTCCTTTTACTTGCATCAAATGCTTTTAAATGTTTCGTCGTTCTTCATTGTCGGCGTCTTTAATGGCGCGCAGTTCCATTCGTAGTGGCGTTAAACCAACAGTAAGAACTGAAACGAACATCAGGGTGGGTCTAGGGTTTCTGATAGCGGGTGCACACCCACTGTGCCTAGCCCGAGAACAACAATTATATTTTCAAAAAGTGTTGCAGGAACTTGTATCACTATTTTAATAAGTAGAACGACACTTCCTTAATTTTTCTGTCAATTAGTTTCTGGACACTCTGTATTTGAATGCAATGCGTTAAACTAAAAATATTAAGTCTGTTCGTTTTCTTGCTTTTCCCGTAAATTCTAATTCAGCAAAAAAAATTGTATATAGCTTGATAATCCTTCCGATAATACATGTTTTAAAATATTAATAAAAAAAAATGTTACTGTTTTAACCGTTACATCCTTAGATACTTTGAAATCTAATTTTATAATTTCGAACTAATTTTTCCTCAAAATTTAATAGGCATGTGTTTTAAGAGAATTTTAAATCTCGCAAATTCTGTTACGATTTTGCGAAACTGATACATACTTGTCCGTCTAACAGTTTACTGGAAGTCAGGAAAGCATCTTGCAGATGGACACAGATGTTGGAGCTCACAATTCCCTAGAGAGTCAAAGTAATACCAGTCCGAGGCGTATAGGTGTTATCAGCCCCTTACCCGAAATAATTGCAGAGCAACAGGTAAGTTACTAACTCTTAAACTGACATAAACTGGATATTCCGTACAACATTGTATAAAATTTAATTATTCGGAAGTTGGAGATTTTTCTATTCGTTAATTATGGTAAGGCACATTATCCACGGCAATCGCTGTACCAGGTTCGGTGCGAGGCACAATACATGCAAACCATTTTTCAAATTTAAACCGTTATCCATTAATTATTATTAATCGCCGTCCTTTCTCAGAAGGCTTTTAGTTCTATAGAAAATTCTTCTACTAATATTTCTTGTTTTCTGTGATTGTAATTGTAAAATCTGCCTGATTTTGAGACTTTGACAGAGGCGACAAAAAATATCCAAAAACTCGTCATGAAAAATGAAAATCACTTTCAATTTTTAGAAAATTTTCGAAAATCACCTTTATTTAGGGGTTGAAAAGACAAAAAAGTGAACAAATTAAGAATCATCAACAGTTGTAAAATAATATTTCTATGTCGTTATCAAAATAATATTTTTTCACATTATCTACAATTTTTGTATATTTGGGGGATGATTTTACCCCTTGATCTAATAAATGTATTTCGAAACATTATTTTTTTCATGCATTATAATTATTTTATGTACTTTGAAGCCGATGGTTTAACTTAGGGATGGTTTTACCCTCATTTAGGGGTATTTTCCTTCGGATCTAGTGATTGTGGGTTATTAATGGTTCAATTATCACGTATAAAAGAAAAAGAAAAAAAAATTGTAACTTTTAATATATTTTTTGCATTTTTAGACGTTTAGGGGATGATTTCACCCCTTTAGAGATATTATGGGTTGATTTTCAATCCGGACAAGACTGTATCAATTACGAAATTGGATATTTTCATGTTCATAATATTATTTTGATAACAACATAGAAATATTTAAGGTTTTACAACTGTTGATGATTCTCAATTTGTTCACTTTTTGTCTTTTCAACCCCTAAGTAAGGGTAATTTTTGAAAATTTTCGAAAAACTGAAAATGATGCTCATTTTCATTTTTCATGAGTATTTGGATATTATTAGAATATTTTTAGGATTTTCCCTGTCGCCTCTGTCAAAGTCTCAAAAACAGGCGGAAAAATGGCTTTTTTTGCGGTGACTCTTTTCTTGTCATGTATTTTGCTTTTTTTACACCTTCACATTTTTACGGTATTACTTACCACATTCCATTCCCACATATCTGCATTTCGATCCCAATTCTCTTTTACACATTGTGTGTTATAAAAATTCTTCCTTTCTACCTATATTTTCTGATTCACCACTAATACTCGCCCATGATTCCATTTTTAATAACACATTGAAAATACCTAGATTGTAAAATAACGAGTTTTTCCTATTTGTACGCTTATGACATGCAGTGACGAAGCTGAAAACTGAGATAGGACGGGATTTGACGAAGGTGTCTCCCTTATTGTACTTAACAGATTAAAGGCCTGAATGTGGTAGCGGTGGCGGTGGCATTATTCGAATTCAAATTTGAATACAAAGACCGCTCGTACCGCGACATGTATGTTTTGACCCATTTGTTTTTATACATTACATTCAAACGCCATCGCCACCACCATCGCTACCGTGTATGTATATACAGGCCTTAAGATGTAGTAAAAATCGCAGCTTGATTTATTTTTGGCCCAACTCTTTTCGAACTGGAGTGTAATTTGTGAACTTCCTATCGGTAACAACCTTTTAATTTCTTAAACCACTTTATTTCAGAGACAGAGATATTTTGAAAATCCCAGAGAAGACGACAGTCGGGCTTCCACCCCGGACGAAATGACGCCCAGTTTGCCCCAAAGGGGGCAGTTCCCGGTACGTCAGGAGCTCTGCGTGAGCTGCATCGCGGCCAAGGCGGCTGCCGCCATGAATCAACTTAATAACGACAAGGAAACGGCTTCGACGTCTACGGAGAGTGATATACAGCAGGTGCTTTCGATAAACTCCGACAGTGACAATAATAAAATTCAGAGTAGTACCAAGAAAAGTACTTAATTAGAACTGTTTTATTTAATGGAATTTCTTGAGAGACGTTTATTTATGAAGTATTTTAGGGAAATTTCAGGATTTATCTCGGTGATGATCATAAAACGAAGGGTATAAAGCATATCGAAAGACAAAAATTGCTGTTTGGCGGAATATTTCAAATATTTTTTACGACACGAAATCATCTCCGAATTATACCAAATTCTACGTTCTCTTCCGCAAAAATTTTCCCTAGTCATCCACATTACCTTACTTTTTTTTTTTTTTGAGAAGTGTTTCATTTTGTCAAAACGTATGGTGCTGAGTGATATTTCGAGGGAGTTTACAAAGCAACTAAAAAGCTTCGATAGTACTTAACGGACTGCAATATATTTTGTACACTGACTGACGAGTCTATTTTTGTGATATATTAGTATTTAAGTTTATCGTAATGATGAATTTAGTGGTGCTTTTACTTAAGTGACGTTCTCGTTGAACTTCTACTTTAAGGAATTACAGAAAGGAAATGTTTCGCTAAAATTAAAAAGAGGTAATTCCATGTAGCTATTTTAAAACGCGAGGCGGCATGGCATCACCTTATTTTAATTTTAGATGACGGAATCTGTAAAAACGAGACTTGAAGTTGCAATGACAAGACAAGGTTGAAATATTTTTAATTTGTTATATTATCACATAGGTTTTAACGATACATTATTAAAAAATTAAAAAATTTATTTCCCCGAACGGGGGGCAAATAGCGCCAGGTGGATTTATATCAGATTTATAAGGGAGATTCGTAGCAGCTATTTCTTGAATATTTTTAAAAACTACTAAATGATACAACGGTGGATAATTTACATTATTTACAAATTTTGATATAAAACCATGTGTCCGAGCCAAAATACCGCATCAAATCACTTTTGACTTGATACGGTATTTTTTAAGCACCCTGTATAACTGCGTATGATAACGAAACTCAGAAGAAGTTGGAAAGTTTTTTATATGTAGGATGTATACTTAAAATCGGTTCCTATTTATTCAGAAAACGTATTTTTCGTTTCGTTCCAAGAGTTTTCGTGCACGTTTCACCCTTTGTACACAAAACGAATAGAGCATCGTTCTTATCAATACAAATTTTTTCAATGAAAGCAAACAAGAACAAAACCTCTGTGAGCGTAATCTTTTGCAGCAGAATTTTAATCACTGTGATCTAAACACTTTTACGTCTTCCATTCGTTTACTGTAGGCGATTTGTAATGGTTTATCAACGAAGTGATTTGTGCTGTGGAAACTAATTAGTTGAGGTAATATATTAATTTATTTAAATTTGCAAATAATACTAAGCGGCCTGGATGAAAAAAAATACAGCAGAACCTCGATTATCCGAAATAACGTGAATGACTCTCATCGTCTCGTGTAAATGATAACTCGGAATTCTAGTTTCGTTTCCCCTTATTTCACTCCATATTGCAGATTTCAAACGAATGAAATGGTATACCCAGTTCCAATAAAAGTCGATGGCTTTTATTGAATTAGAAAGGTTACATGATTCGGTTAAGAGGGCTCTATTGCAAATAGGCAACCAGCAATACATTTTTATAGATTTTATTACACAGTGTCTAAATATAAATTAATGCACTTTTCTCCATTCTAACGCAGATTTCCTATAAAATGGAGTTAGTTTGAAACTCGAATTACTTTTTGTTGTATAGAAATTTGTAATTTGCATCGTAAATAACAAATTTCTTACACCAAAAAGTGATTTGAGTTTCAAAGTAAGTCCATTTTATAGAAACTCTGCGTTAAAATGGGGGAAAGTCTGTTATTTGTGTATTAATTCATATTTAGATAAATTGTGTAATAAAATCTATAAAAATGTATTGCTGGTTGCCTATTTGCTATAGAGCCCTCTTAAGAGGACATATACAATTAGACGGAGGAAAATGAGTCAATTTTGAGGAATTTTCTAAACTAAGAAATATTCATTCTACATTCATCGGACTATAAGGTGTTCTTTAATAGGCTATTCAAGTATAAACAAAAATTTTTTTGAATTCGTCAAAATGAGGGAGCTGTGGTAGTCACAGTAAAGTTGCGGCACGACTTCCAAAACGGTTACAATCTAGCTCCCCGTAAAATATGATCTACATCAAAATACAAAAATTTTCTATTTTAAAACGTGTAGTTTCGACATGATGTTGAGAAAAATAGAAAAAATACAAATTTGAAAAAACGACACGCATTTAAAGACAAAAATCGAATTTTCATGCGAAATTTCTGCAAAATTTTTATAAAAAACTAGTATTTTTGGAAATTTTCATAAATCAATCTTCGTCACATTGAAGGTAATAATATTATCAACATTTCTACCAAGGGGGAACTCGATCGGTTCAATATTTTTTTGCGTAATCGTGTTCACCAATTTCGAGAAAAACGGTAAATCCCCCTTCCTATTCTATCCCAGACGGAGTCGTTAGACTAACGAGCGTTGCTGTGGACGAAGGGGCAACTGTAAACTTGGATAGCTATTTCTCGTACCTCATCCGAAAACAGTTAATTCTCCTACAAACATCTGGTCGACGAGTATATCTGTGTGTTCTTGCTTCTACCGGTGGCGTGCACTCCGGATCCATATGGACAAGTAAGAGTTTTTCGAATTATGCTTTCAAACTTTCAGAATATATTCTTCACATACAATTCTATCGTTTAAGAATATAAAAAAAAAAAAAATTAAATTTCTGATGGTTGTAATTATACCTGTATGTATGTCCCTTTAATATGGAGTTGCAATAATCGAAAACTCAGATATCCTGACCTCGAATAATCACGACTCGGTTAGCCGAGCTTCTACTGTCACGTAAACACCTTATAGTGCTGCTAGTAATAAGAAATATTTAACACTAAATCGGGGTTTCTTTAAACTTCGCTCGTATAGAAATATGGGCAGTTTTTCGGTAAGAGAAAATCAAGCAAAATCTAGCATATCCACGAGCGTACCATAATCCATGTTGCAAACACGGAAACAAGTTCTACGGCATACTTAACATAGAATAAGGGATTCATTTCAAAAATAAAGAATTTTTAATAAACCCACGACACTGTATCGTAAATAGTTATAAAAACATTCCTCTTGTTTTACACTGTGTATAAACTGAACTGAAATGGTCATATTACTATTTCGATAAGTTTAACTTTACCTTTTCCCATAAACAATAATAGTAAAAAGTGCCGTTAGCTAATTTCTTTCTTTATTAGTAAACACATTGTTTATAAAAGTGCCTTTAAATTGTGGCTTCTATTTTGGCTTTTTCTGAGTTTGTTATATGCAGTATTAATGTACAAAAATGTTACTCTCACATACCCACGGGTTGTGCGTACTTTCCATTTATGCTTGTACATATTTATAGCTATATTTAAATGACTGATTAAAATGTTTATGAGCATTTAAGTGTTGTTTTTATGTTTGACATAAGCTGCCCCTTGTAGTAAAACGTAACACTTAGGTCTTACGAATATGGAATATATCCCACAAAATAATTTTTCAGAAATATTTAAATTACTTATTTGGGCAAAGGCGGCGCCATCTATACACTAAAAGTTGAGTTAATTCAGGAACGACTGTGAGGCTGTTACAGTTAACTACCTGTTAAAGAAATTTTTCGCGTTTTAGTTCAGTCTCTGAGTGACAGATGGCGCCATGAAAATTTAGAACTAATAAATGCAGCTTGATTAGTTAATCGACAAATATATGAGTGTTCCATTTCGCTGTACGAAAAATTGCTTGGAATGTACTTAACTACAAGAAAAATTTTCAAAGAATTGTTACCGGAAAAATGTATATTTTAGGAATTCTTATGCAGCCAGGTATACACTGGCATTGTATTGTATGTTGCCTACAACAACAAACAACATAACGAACAAAATTTTAAATGGAACTGGAAGGAAAAAATTTGAAAATATTGAAAATTGACGTAGCTAGAGACAGACTATATTCAGTTTTGGATTGGTCAAAGTCGTTATAGTCAAGTGAAATTTTATCAGATTTTTCTGAGTTTCAAAACTTTTTGAAAAAATCGATGAACACGAAAATGAAAATTTAAAAAAATTAAAGCGTCCTTTTAAGAACGGTTCCGTATGTAACTGGGGTGAATGAACACGTTGCGTTAATTGGTTTTTGTGTAAGTGATTTCGATAAAGAAAAAATTGTGATTCCGGCAAAATATATATTTTAGGAATTCTTATGCAGCCAAGTATACACTGCTATTGTATTGTATGTTGCCTATCGAACAAAATCTTAAATGTAAATGGAAAAAAGAAAATTAAAAATATTGGAAACTGATAAAGGTAGAGAGAAACTAAATGTAGTTTTGGATTGGTCACAGTCGTTATAGACAACCGATTTTTTTTCAGATTTTTCTGAATTCCAAAACTTTTTGAGAAAATCGATGCTTGAAAATGAAAATTTTAAAAAAATTAAAGCGCCCTTTTAAGAACGGTTCCGTATGTAACTGGGGTGAATGAACACGTTGCGTTAATTGGTTTTTGTGTAAGTGATTTCGTTAAAGAAAAAATTGTGATTCCGGCAAAATACATATTTTAGGAATTCTTATGCAGCCAAGTATACATTTGTATTGTATTGTATGTTGCCTACCGAACAAAATCTTTAATGGAACGAAGGAAAAAATTGAAAATATTGAAAACTGATGGAGCTAGAAATAAACTAAATGTAGTTTTGGATTGGTCAGAGTCGTTATAGTCAACTGACATATTTTCAGATTTTTCCGAGTTCCAAAACTTTTTGTGAAAATCGTTGGGACTTGAAAATGAAAATTAAAAAAAAATAAAGCGCCCTTCTAAGGACGGTTCCGTATGTAACTGGAGTCAATGAACACGTTGTGATTATCGGTTTTTGTGTAAGTGCTTTCGAGCTTTCGGTAATGAAAAAATTGTGACCCCAGCAAAATATATATTTTAGGAATTCAATTCTTATGCAGCTACGTCCACACAGGCGTTGTATTGTATGTTGCCTATGGAACAAACTCTTAAATGAAACTAGAAGGAAAAAAATTTAAAATATTAAAAACTGGAAGAACTACAGAGGAACAGAATGCAGTTTTAGATTGGTCAGGGTCAGTTCCAAAACTTTTTGAGAAAATCAATGAACTCGAAAATTAAAATTTTTAAAAAAATAACGAGCCTTCTATGGACGGTTCCGTATGTAACTGGAGTCAACGAACATGTGATTATCGGATTTTGTGTAAGTGCTTGCGTTAAGGAAAAAATTACGACTCCGGCAAAATATATATTTTAGGAATTCTTATGCATCTAAGTATACACAGGTGTTGTACTGTATGTTGCCTACTAAACAAAATCTTAAATGGAACTGGAAAGGAAAAAATTGAAAATATTGAAAACTGTAACAGCTAGAGAGGAACTGAATCCAGTTTTGAATTGGTCAGGGTCGTTATAGTCAATAGAATTTTTTTCAGATTTACCCGAGTTCTACCTAAATATTGAAATTACAGCGATGCGTACACGTCAAGTTGCCAGACACGACTGACCGTTGGACTTCTAACAGGCCACCAAATGCCTTCACCGTAATCGCCCTATCGTTCGGTCTAGATGGTCTATGCATCAAACCAAGAAAGGACACACAGAGAGAAGGAAGGAAGATTTAAAAAACAATATATGTATTGGCGAATAATACAAAATAACTTTTACAATATTTATATCTACAGCTTTGGAGTAACTACCTAAATAATATAGTAAAAATGCAGAACCTTAAGAGTTAAATTTAAAAACTAATAGTACTTATACTCAAAAACCATTGTGCACCTAAAATACAATATATTAATAACTAACGCCTATTCAATTGTTTATTCCGAGTTTTATAAATTTAGAATTCAATCAGTAAGGATCATTAAACAAATTAAAGTCTTTGGAAATATACAAATTTGGCACATAAAGTAATTTTTTAACTCTAACATATCAATAAGCAATTCTTGAAACCTGCAGGACTCGTTTGAATATTAATATTAAAAAATTCAAAGGAATTTGAACTAAAGCGGTAAAGGAAATCGCACTGCTCACTTATTAGGCCTTCAATTCCCAAAAAAGTAATACAAATAAATAAAATCATTATAAGGTATCAGGAAAGCTACAATTTTTCTTAAATTCTAATTATTAGATGGTGCACATATTTGTAAAAGGCCAAATGACTGGACCATTCAACGCTGCATGAATATGTAAAATATTACAGTACTATTTAAAGCAACACTTTATGATGAAATTTAAAATGTTGGCACATTTTCCAATTTTAAATATGTAACCAAAAAAAAACTACAACACATGAAATGGTACAAACTTTTATGAAACTAATGAATAAATGAAACTTTACTCCACTTGTGAAGATAAGCAAATAGGTTAACCAGGTTTCTATTTAATTATGTATTTTACTAATCAACTAATCCCAGTTGACAATTTTGAAGTGTGAACGGTGTAACATAAGTTCCAACAAATAAAATGATATGATCGAGAGCCACGTTACAGCCAAAATCCATTAAGGCTGTGACGGAACGTCAAGTGATATGAAAACAAAATTAATTATGGGAGACTAAAAATAAGTGACGTATGTACATTGTCGTTTACAATTATATTTGTAAAGTGCTACGTTAAATTTCAGAATGTTAAAATTATTCGTAAAAAAAAATTGTTACTACAACCACTATTTTTTTTTGAGTTTTTGAGAAACAGGCTTGTTGAGTACTAACACATAAACAAGCCTCACCTAAAGTTAAAGCTAAAAATAAGATAACAATAAGAAAAATAAAAATAAGATATTAAGAAAGATAAAAATAAGATAATAATATTACTCACATTTATGCAACCTGAAAATCTAAAACATTTAATTAATGTATGTTGAAGATTTTTAATAAACTTCTAAACTGAAATATTTTTGACTTTTACTATCCTCCCAAATGTTTCATCATTTTAAAATTTACACCAGAATTAAAAAAAATGTTGACCGAGTAAACCAAGGAAAATTTACTTTGAATACAGGATGTCCAAAGGTCATAGATTCTTAAGACAAATTTATTTTTTCCAAGTGGCTCCCTCTTTCGGAGTTACTGCCCCCTGAAATCTGCCCCTGGCTTTTTTGAGATTTATCTCAGAACCCTGTTGTATGAGAATCATTAAATTTGGTACTCAGGGGTTTTATGACATGTGGAATTTGACAGTACTACGCTTTTTGACGGGGAACACTTCTTCGTGGGTCCCCTTGTCTTTGGACCCAAAAAAATTTGGTCGCAAATTTGCATTTCTTAAAAATTATTAGTTAGATAGATGAATTTAGAAACTCTTTTGTCTCTTGATATTTTTTTCGTAAAACGCAATGTTTTTGAGGAAAATAGCGAATCACGAAATGCATTCGATCACATTTTGACATTTTTCTCGAAAACATTGCATTTTACAAAAAATTTATCAAGAGACAAAAAAGTTACTAAATTTAATGGCTTTCTAGCTAACTAATAATTTTAAGAAATTCAAATTTGTGGCAATTTTTTTTACTCCAAAGGAGCCCACGAAAGATTGGCTTAAGGGGGTTCACCACCAAAAAGCGTAGCACAATCAGATTCCACATGTCATAAAACCCCTATGTACCAAATTTATTGATTCTCATACAACAGGGTTCTAAGATATAAAAAAAAGATTATTTTTAGGAGCGGATTTCAGGGGCCTGTAACTCTGAAAGAGGGGCCACTTGCTAAAAAAAATACGGGTCCCCTAAATTTGTCTTAAGAATCTGTGATCAAATTTTGTTGCATCAACTTCGGGACACCCTGTATATCTTACCATTTTTACAGTTTAGAATTTTCCATAAAATGTGAATTTTTTTTTTATATATTAACATTTTTCACTACAGTTTTGATTGAACCCAAAGTAAACCCACCGCCTTTTCTATTATAATTTTAAAAATTAGCATTTGAAATTTTTCAGTATACAACCAAACTACCTTCGGTTATTATGTGGTGAGGTCTACAATTACAGTATTTACTACTACCAAAAATGAACAATCCTGTTTAGTAAGGTTCGAAAGATGCACAAAACACTCTTAAACTTACAAGAATCGATAAAAAAACGGTATAAAAATATAACGTAAGTACATTTATGAACATTATTGTGGTATTAAACATCACTAATAAATATTTGGTAAGAATCCAGAAATTTCGTGTATATTGAATTTGGACGACACGTAGAACTTCCGCTCTGTTGGCGTCTCCTTGACATCAATACAAATTATTGGGTGCTTTCCAATTATTAATTTATGGCTATATTCCCTTATGTCTAAGTTTTTCCAGCACGAAACGTGGTAGATGTACACCTACGGAGAAATTCAATGAAATCGAGCTAGCATGGCGGTTCATTGAACTATTCATATTTTCCGGGTACAGAGAAAAGTATATAAATATCTCCAAATCCAACAATTTTGCCAGATTTTTATTGAGAGTTGATATTTTTACATGTTTTTTATTTTTTTTCTCGATAATATATTTTTTTTCTCAATAATAAATTTGAAATCAGAAACCTTCCTTGAATTTTTCCATTCTGTAAAACATTTTAAGCAAGAAATTGCCTACGAATATATTTCCTAAACAAATATAACAAAAAACTTGAGCTGGCAAGAGAGATATTCTGGGGACACTGTCACTAAGCGTCCCACAAATTTGAAGTTACTGCGTGTTTTGACCTTTCCATTCCGATTCATTCAGAAATGTACTTCAATTAAAAAAAATTATTATATAAGCATTTAAAATTTTTTTTTTTTTATAAATTACTACACAGCTCAATAAATCGAAATTAATTCTCAAACTGTCGTAATACGAGAAATAATTACTGCACTAATGCAAATAATTAAAGGGTCAAAAGAATTTCCGAAATTTTTCCGTGATTTTTGACAGATTTTTGACTTAGGTGAAAAATAGATCCTTTTGTCTGCAATCATCGATATCTTGGCGACAAATGGTCATACAGAGAATTGAAGGGCAGTTTCGAAAACTGGAATAAATTTCCTACAACATGCATGCAACTTTTCGGAAAAAAAATGTTTTTTCATCATTTACACGAATTAAAAAAAACAGGAAAAAGATGGTAATTTATGGTTTTTTAGGAAATTAACGGCTAAATTAGAAATATTAACGAATTGACTACTGTTAAGCATGACTTTTACAGTTCGATATGCCCAGAAGAACTCTGTGAAGTTTCATCTCGATCTAGTGAACTGTTTCATTGTTTCAAACAGTCAAACCTTTGAAAAAAATTAAAGGATCACGTTTTTTGAGCTTAAACACTTCATTTTTTCACCTAAATACCATCTGTCAAAAATCACGGAAAAATTTCGGAAATTCATTTGACCCTTTAATTGTTTGCATTAGTGTACATACAGGGCGTTCAAAAAGTTTGGAATCCCCCCTCTATCTCAGAAAATACTGCTCAAACAAAAAAATTATTAGGACAAAAGTTGCAGGGCTTTGAGTGAGCAATCCAACGATGACCATGACCATGACCTTGAAGGTCATTTAGAGGTCAAGTCGAAAATTTTAAATAGAACGTATACTTTTGTCCCCGGAAATGGTAAAAGCGGAAAATTTTATGTTCGAGTGTGATCTTGACCAGGCCCCTGACTATGAGCTTCAAGGTCATTTAGAGGTCATATTAAAAATTTTAAATGGAGTCGTATACTTTTAATCCCGGGAATGAAAAGAGCGAAAAATATCGGGTCATTTATTAGAAATCGACCTGTTGTAAATGACCTTGAAGGTCATGATCAAGGTCATATCCAAACATTTCCGGGGTGCAGTTCTATTCAAATTTTATGACGAAACTTAAACTGTTGGCACATTCTTCAGTTTTCAATTTACAGCACACAAAAAAACATAAATGTTATGAGAAAATAATAAAAGAATTTAAAAAATAAAAAGATCGAAAATAATTCTAAAACCGCTTCTTTAAACTTAAAAATCTGTCTTGAAAAACAAAACCTAAAAAAAATGTGGATTACTTACCGTTCCGACGTCAACACCTAAAATAAGGGTGTTCCCATATAAATAGATGCACGTTATGTAACACCTAAATATTTCCCAAGTGTTGAACATTTTCTTGCTATACTTGTCATTTTTTCCCAAGATGAAGAATTCAATAAAATCACTTTTAACATCATCGTCATTTTTACCTATTAAAAAAAATATATTTCCTTAAATCTACAAAATAAAAAGACCGTCGCACTCACATAAACTAATGATGACGTCGTTCCTCAAAATCTGCGTATTCTGGCTATCTACCAGCGGAAAATTAAACTTGATCCTCGTTTTTTTCTTCATGATGTCCATGGGAGTGATTTCGGCAGACTCATACTCGATAATTTTAACTTCATTATTGACCAGGAAGGTGCAGACACCTTCCCACATCTTCATGCAGGATAGACTCGAGGGAGAATATATCCTGGAGAACCACACTTCTGTCAGTTGTCTCCTTCCGTCAGTGTTGGTCAGTTTAGCGATGGTCATTCTTCCCCCCACTTTCTCGTAGCATATGTAGTTTTTGTAAATGCTGAAAAGGGAGTATGGTTTACCAGGAATGAAGATTATAGGGAAAATTATTTGGTGTAATTCTTTTATTAAAATTGCAGAGAAACCTCATATTTTTGACATACAAGGGGAAAAAGTTTTTGATAAATATCGCATCTAGGCAAATATCATGAAAAATAATTCTTAAACTTCCACAACAAAAATAGGAAATTTTTGTTGGAATGTTCAAGAAAATAATTTTAAAATAAGAATGATCGGTATCAGAAATGCTGTACAGTTCTATTTAAAAACAAGATTTTGTGATGAAACCTATATTGTTGGCACATTTTTCAGTTTTAAATTTGTACGTAAATAAAAATTGATTATGTCATTCGATAGAGGGTAAAAAGCGGCCACGAGAAAGTATTCTTCTTTTTCCAATATCACCTCAAACAAGGCTGAAATTAAACAAAAACGGATTTCCAAAATTTCGTTTTCTTCAAATATTTCGAAAACTAATGATGTTAGCCCTGATTTTTTAGAGGTATAAAGTTGGTCCCCTGATTACGCAACTTTGCCCCCATTTAAGCTACTTCATACCTTTTACCGTTTCTGCCGAGATCCCTGTAGTGAGAAGTGAATTTTTAACAGCCTGTATAATCTAGTCATTAAATTTCTGAGAATCCATTTATTTCCCTGTAGCCAAAATAATAGTTTTTTATAAATACTGAACCGGGAGAATGGTTTGCTGGGAATGAAAATTGAGAGTGAAAAGTGGTACTTCAATGTTGTTTAATCATATATTAATCGTGCAGAAAAACCTCTCTATATTGATAGCTAAATTAATTTGTGCAAGGTATCCAAATCATGCAATCGTAATAGATTACATCCTCATATTTTCTTTTGTAAGCGGATGCTGTCAAATATAAGACTAATATTAATGTTTTTGTTTTCCTTTGTCGTGCCAAAAATTCACATATTTAAATATTTTATTAAAACATTATATGTAATGTAGATACCAAATTATTAACGTGGAACCTGTTTAGAGAAAAACATCAAATTTTCAAAAAATCAAGAGGAGTACACATATTTATATCTTTTATCTACATAAATCGCTACCTAAATTTCATTATTCTGCGTCTTTAGAGATGTTTTAAAAAAGGTGCAACGTCCTGCACAACTAACACAACTTATCAATTTCCAAACCGATGTCCATATAACCCATATGGCGCTTAAAATCACTAAACGTTTTGTGCCTTATTCATTTGTCGACATACTTAATTAACGCCCTGTATAATGTACTCAACTTCAGTTACACGACCGCAATGCAAAAGCTAAGAGAAACGTATTTACTTACTTTTTACCAGCATTAAAAAATTTTAACGGTTCTATGCAATAACGTACCTGTGTGACTTTACGTCCTGAATTACGAGCTGGTTTTTGCTGATTCCATCGAAACAGAATATATCCAGGCCCTTATTGTAGGAAACCACAAGACAAAAATCCAAGCTCTCCCCATTACCACCTGGAAATTTTAATTTTCATCGTTTCATTCCACCCTTCAGAAATCGTTATTTTTTTTCTAGATATATTTTACAAGAAAATTTATCTGTTATCAATGGTATGCAAGATGCTGTAAAAGGTATTTCTTTAATGAAGAATCAGGTCATTTTTCTAGATTTTTAATTTTTAATTAAGATAGTCAGCTTACAACACGTAAAATGTGTCATACGTGCACAAAAGACATTTTTACTCTATTTTAAAGTTAATTCGAACAAATTCAAAAAATTTATCCTGAAAATCTTATCAAATGAAGTCAAAATTTAATAAAAAATGGCAAATATTGGTGCTTACGGGTCTTAATAACATACTGGTTTCTAATAAGATTCAAATACCCAATTCAATAAAAAATTTAGATTTTCTCTTAATTTTCAAGCACTCAAATTAACAAATTTTACTAATGGTCATTTTAGAAAGATAAAATGTATTTAAATTTAACACTGTAAGACAATAGTGATCAAAATTAAATTAATTTTGGTCACATAATAAAGTATTGATTCTTCTATTAAAAATTAATCTCAGAAAATAATTTGAGAGAGGTTTGTAAACAGACTAAAGATTTCATAACAATGGGGCAAACATTGAGAATGAAATGGCCGTGTCACTTATTTTGGCCCACAATTTAGACACAAAGCAAATGTAGTGAATATATTAACACATGGATATGCCGCTGGCTTGGTGCCATATTGAGAAGGAAATTATTGAACACAGATCTCGTAAAAAAAACAAATGGGTTAGTATTAAAAATAATGTTTGCAAAACAATTTAATCCTATTTTAAAAGGCTAAATATAATTTTAAAAATCATTATTGAGCTGCAAAATGCGTAAATCAGACACCTACGAAATTTTGTTATAAATAATTTGTTTAAAACGGAAGCCGGAAAATTTATTTCTTGCAAAAAAACATGTGGGAGTATTGCACATTCGTAGATGATGCAAAAAATAATCTACCTACACAAAATATAAAAATTTCATAACTCAAACAGAGTACTTACTGTCCATAAAGGTAAGGCTATTAATCTTAACAGCTAAAATACGGGCAGCATAGAGCATCTTCCAATCGTTTGAAAAGATCCGTAGTCGCCCATCTTGAGAGCCTACAGCTATGTAATTCCCAGACACGGCGATGCAGGATATCCGTGGTACTTCCACGGGACTTAAGACTATGTCACACATTACTTGGTCGATACTTTCCCACGAGTACCAGTTAATGTAAATATGAAGCCACTTGTCACCGGCTTCATCTTGATAACTTTGCAAGTATTCAATCAGCTGGTTTTTGGGAATTTCTTCCTTGCAACACCATTCCCAGATCCTCGTCTTCTACAAAATGAAATTAAAACAAGTCACGAATGATAACTATTGGAAATAAGTTTATTGGATAGCAAAAATAGCGGAATCAGATTCATGAGAGAAGAAGAATTACTGAAACATACATTTAATTGAGATAAGAAACAATCTGATATAAATTATTTAAAACAGAAATATTTAGTTTCAAATAAAAATCGTAAATTAACTGTTACTGTTTCCTCTCTATCCTATTGCAGGCAGCAGCTTTTAACAGTGAGTTTATTGAATGTAATGGTACATAAATAAATACAAATGATAATGGCTAGCATAATATTTGCTAGATAATTTCTGTGAATGCACATATGTGTTACTTATAACTGAAAGTGCCAATTGTTACTCCACAACTGACTATTTAAATCTGGCTTTTCACTATTTTATGACATTGGATTACATTCAACTTTTGCTAAATGTGCCATAAAAATTATTAAACCTACGTATAACAGTCAAAAAAGTATCTAGTTATTTATATATAAAACAAATGGTAGCATTTGATTGCTGTGAGAAAAACTCGGGGAAAAGATAATATGAAATATCCTATAAATACATTTGCATTGTCTTGTTAATTTTCTTCAACTAAATATATTTTCAAACACAAGTTACCTAATTTATCTAAATATATTTTTATTACATTTATTAGAAAAACTGAATGATGTGTAAATTACATAGATAGTAAAAAACATTTGGAAGCCAATATACCTATAAGAAATAATACTTTTTAATGTGATATTGTTGATTCAATAATTTACACAAAGTAAAAAGCTGTACAATGTAGTAGAAGGATATTTAAAAATTAAATTTGCATGAATGGAAGTAGATATATAAGATATGTACTTCTTTAACAGCAAATTCAGGAAAATATTAATTTTGAAATGTATTCCTAGTTAGTGTATCTGCATAATAGAATATATCTTTGTAAGCAATAGAAGTGAATTCCTAAAATTAATTGATTTATGTGATTTCCTGCCAACAATTGCGTAAATTTCAGAAATAAATTATTATTATTAGGCAGTTGTGAATGAAGCATATCTGTTATTAAACTTATTATTAGACATATTTTTAATTTATAAATAAAACTCACTTGGGTTAAATAATCCACAATGTGTTTCCATTCTTCGTCAACTTTTCTTGCACTCAATAATGTTTTTCCATCGCATTTCCTCAAAATATTTTCAATTATCTCTACTGGCAAAATCATTTTGAACAACACTGTGTTTATTTATAACAAAGTCAATAATGCTAAATGAAAGTCGCTAACAATGAGTCGCATTAAGGAACCATTAACAAAACTTCATTGTCTGTCGATGTATTTTTAACAACAAATAGTACAAAACGACGAGCTGGAGTGAATGAATTGCTATTCCTTGTAATTATTTTGTTTTATAGTTATTTTTAATCATTTTAAACGCAGATTCGGGAGATTTGGCATTTTAGCAACTTGTGTACCAACGCAGCACCCAAACCTCGATTCATCCAAACCCAAATATGACAGCGCTTCTCAACATTTTCTCTTTTTCAATTTTAATCTATTGCACTCGAACAAAACCGTTTCACTCTACATTGATCTATATTTCATTATTTTGACGATTATTATAAATAAACCTTTTATTAAAATACACAAAATGTATATTATTAACATGCATTCATTTATCAAATAATCTTCTGGCAAAACAAATAAGCAAATTCCAATAGTTGGTAACGGACCTACTAATTTTAGCTTAAATTAAAAATCTTTGTCACAATAAACCCTAACAACTTAATAATGACTTGAAAGTTTAAAAATAGTATCCAAGCAATGGAAAAGGACAACACTGTATGCCAAATTCCTCAAACCAATTCCGATACTGTTTTTGTGAGATTGTTAATAGGAATATTAATGCAATTTGCTCTAATAATGTAATTTTAAGAAATATTACAAATAATTATTTATTTTCTACAATAAATTTGTTTGAGATTCACTGGCACACTGTAAGGAGCCTGGACGTGGTTTGGATTCAACGTTGTTTGAATCGAACGTAGACAAAATACAGCTGTCAAATTGCAACTGACTTTTACATCTGCAATACGCATGCCTTATGTTTAATTCCTACAGGTTGTTTTTTATTTCGTGTTTTATGTTTTCATTTTCAGTTCATGAGGATGACGGATTGGTTGTCGTTGTTTTTACATAATTTCTTTGGGGTGTAATTTAGTTCTCGTACGAGTGGTGCGTTTATATTTTGTGCTGACTTATGTGTTGAACTTTTGACTCCTGTTTATTAATGAATATTAAGTGCGTGTAAATCAAAACTAATTAACATGGGGGTCGTTTTGCCTCCTTTGGAATTTACTGAGTGTTTAAGTGACAGCCCATATTTCAGGGAAAATCTGCACAAACACGAAAGGGAGCTCGAGAAAACCAATCAACATATCAAGAGGATTATCAAAGAAGTCAAAGATTTATTGGCCGCAGCCAAACGTAAGGAAATATTTGAGTATATACATATTTTATTAAATTCATATTTGACCTCCATTCTATTTGTTCTAAAATCTGTTATTGTTTATACTTTACTATTAAACTTCTGAAATAACGGATGGACTTAGAATATATAACAAGTAATCTTTAAGTCCAAAAAATTGATGTGCATCACAGTTCTTGATTTATATTCATTGAGGTACAAAAAAAATAGGTAGCTTTTTTGTAAAAATTAAGAACAATAAAGGTATAGTAGGTATATTTTATAGTCATAGGGGACTGAATAATTCGAGGAATAATTAATATAATTTTATTAGCCCTAAAGGAAATATGAGAATGGTTAATTCATTAAAGACAAATAATGTATTACACCTTCATACTCATCACTTATTCGTCTTAGAAAATTGCGGTTTTTTCATTAATCATTGATATTTATGTAATATAGGTAATTAATATTTGTAATTCCTCTGTTCTTACGGATTTCCAAAATGGAATATGTTAACAGTAGCCTCCCACCTTACAATGTAGGAGTCGGTTATAAATAATATTTTGCATTTTAATAATCAGACAATATCCTATTACCCAGCCTATTACTTACACCTTTTCCAATTTGGTTACCCTGCATCTTTTTTTATGAAAATTGATATAGGTCAAGACATCACATAGGTGTTTGTGTTTATTTTTCACACTAAAAGATTATTTTCTTAATGTGATACATTTTTATCAATTTAATTGTATTTCTCCAAGATATATATATCTCATCAATTTAGAGATAAAGAAATAGAATCTAGCAATATGTTTAATACACTGTCTACAATTTTATTAGCACCAGTTTTTAATCAATTTGAACCTAGATTTAAACAAACATTTGGTCTAAACGCTGATAAAAATGTGACAGAACACTTGGCTGGATTACATTTTGCCGCAAAATATCGCCTTCTAAATATATTTATCGTTATCTTAACCTTATCTAAACTTTTACAATTTTCCTTTAAATTAGAGAAACACCTAAGTACAAAGAGTTAGGGTATTTAAAATAACTACTAGAAAAATAATATTTATATGTATTATAGGTAAAAGAATTAGGGAACGTTAGGAATAATGAAATAAGTTATAATTGCTTTTAACAACTAAAAACAACTACACAAAAATGTACATGCACATTGAAATTTAACATTATTTGTGTCTAATTTTCGTAACTAGGGCGATTATTTTGTTTAACAACTCCTTTTTGGTGTAAAAAAGTAAATGCAACGTAAATATTTAAATCTAAGAACTCTATGAAGATCCTTTTTAATTCTATTTAGGAGGGTGTAACCGTAAAAACACGGTAACACCGTGAGAACTGATTGTCCCCTATCCTTATAGTATAGTGATAGTGTATTTGAGATAGATTACTACTATTTCAAGAACCCTGTTCAAGTTAGTCGCAGTGTAACAATGTTTGATGAAACGACAGATTGAAGGTCGTGTTGTCATAAAAGGCACGACCCCATATCCAGGGACGGCTCGAGCTCGTTTCAGAAGATGTGGATAAATTCAAATTTATTAACAAAAATTGAAAATATGTGTTGTTAAGGGCCCCATATTCTTTAAATAGTGTTTTCCGTAAAGACAAATAATTTCAAACATTTAATAACTGAACAATCTAAAGCTTATCAAATAATAGGAATGATATGTCATGCCACCTGAGTATTTTCAAAGACGCCGCAGTAAAACGAATAAACAGGTGCAAAAAACGATCAAACCATCAAGGTTTTAGGTACTGAAATCTACGAAAATACTAACTTTTTTATATATAATTCCACATGTAAATATTCTTATAACATTTACTTGCTTAGTCCTACATATAAAATTGTTTACTTTTATTTATAAGTACGTGAAAATAATTCTTAAAATGTGGGGTTAGAATAACAGCAAACGCATGTTTTACAAACGCTTTTTTTAGTTATTAGAGTAAATTTAAATGGTAACAATGAATAAACAAAACATCAAGGATTTTATTTTAGTGCTTACTTTTGTTCTACACGTTTTACTTTTAAAGATTTCAGTACCTAAAAACGCGAGAAATTTCACTATTTCTCGGCCGGGAATATGGTCACCTTAAGAATGAATGATACTGAATTGTACCACGATTTCTAATCTTTGGTAGCAAGCTGCAAGTAATGTGAAGGTAGATTATTGTTATTTATTTTTTTACGATTATCTTAAATAATTGTAGTGTTGCAAAACATCATCCAACTTGCCATTTAGAGGTGTGTGAATAATCGAACTATTCAAATTCGTTAATAGCTTTTACCTTAATTATTCCCGAGGTTATCGTTAAATAATTAATAATATATCTTTAATCTACACAACCCGCTTATTTCTTGCTTTCACAATATATTCCTTGTAACAGTTCCTACATGTTATAAATGACAAGTCAGCTTTGGTCATTGTTATCCATAACAATGTTTCTTTTTTGCGACAGTTATTTACACTAGATATAAATGTATCTCAATATTCGATAAATTGCTATAAATATTTCGAATCGAATGTTCGCACCTCGATTTATTTACCCTCCCCAAGGTTGTAAATACCCTGCATCTGATAATAAATTTACTAGAATCTCATTAGCTTCCATCCAATCGGTCCTGCACCTGTGTACCTGCATGATATAAATTAAAAAATGGGCAACTAACATGCCTCCACTAATATGGCATATGACTACGCTGGTCGCATGATAATGGGGGGCAAGTGAGACCCGCACCGCTTTACAAATTACCTCGGACAATAATAGTTATACGTCTTTTTATGCATCATCCTCCATCTTTATTATAATTATGCTCAATTTAGGACATCACACACGCCGGTGGAATGTCCAATTGCATCACGTACACGGTCTTGTTCCTTTACCGGAACAAAGCCATGTAAATTTTCTTTGTAGACGATCGTCATTGACAGTTGTGATCGCTACTTTATACACGTATATACATGGGAGGAAATTGTCGACAGTTTGTTAATCAGCTTCCCAAATGTTTTCGCTTTCTATGCTAGAACGTGGTCTCTGGTGTTTCTGTGTTTCGACCTTTGCTTCAATATATAAACATACCGATTGTTCTTCGGTTTTGGCTTGAATATTTCAAAAGTCTGACACGACGGGGCATTTTTATGCAGCTCGCTTATCACAATCGTGATTTTTAAATACACAAATTTCCAAACATGGCATCGCCGTTACAAAACTCCACTGCTACTTGATACAGTCGATCGGCTGTAACGGTAATTCCCCAACTAATCGCTAATCAAGGAAATATCCTTTCAAGTCGATTTCAAAGCACTCGAATTCGGGCCACTGCCCAAAAAAACGTCGCCCCATGACAATAATGATAAGAAACTGCAACAACAACCGTGAATCGATAAAAAAAAAAACCTCTACAAACAACGTTATTGTTGGCACATGCAGGCGAGCCCTACTTCCGTACAATTTTGTGATGATAAACGCTTTAAAACGCTGACTACACGGCATTCCACCGCGTGCACTACATGCTCTCCCGAGCCTTTCCAGCCAAGGTGACACTCGCAGCGAACTGCAAGGCTAATAAAGCGTGGTGGATAAAAAAAAAACGTAATATTTAAAATGTTACTGTCAGTCCAGTTGGTCTGCTTTTTATGCAGAAACTGCGCGATTTGTAATTCATGTTATATAACGTTATTCTGTAACATTCAGTAGCCGGACAGGTCTTGCAGTTCTTGCGGCTCTTTGCCGCTTTTTGCTTGTACCTTTCCGAGACAAATCCGCGGTTGGTACATTCTATTTCCATAAAATACGCTGGAGTAACCTTGCACCGCCTAATATACGTATTAAAAAGAGCTCAAGGAAACGGTGCATCTGCTAAGTTCATTTCGATTTGATTGAAATAATAGTCCGGTCACTGAAGCATTTTGGCTACCAATTTTTTCGGATGGAATGAGTTGCCGTGAAATTCGAACTGTAGCTAGGGAATAGCCCAAGAAACAAAAGTTATATAGTGCCGATGTGTGCTTTTACCCAAGGGGTGGATGCCTTGCCTTCTGAAGGGTGGGATTTTTTTTATTCACGATTCGATAGAGGGACGAATTTTAAGCAAAAAATGTTCTATAAGAATTTTTTGTAGAGTCAATACTTTTTGAATTATTTGCGCCTAAACATGTTCATTCTTAACCCAAAAAATGCAAGTTTTATCAAAAAAATTATCATAAGTAAAAATGAAGGTAATTAAATTGCAAAGAGATCGATTGCTTTTTTTATTTTTGTAGATGGTATAGAACCCGAGTTATGACTCCCAGAAGTTGAAGACAATTTCGAAGATAGCTTTAATCTTTAATCGAAACGTTCAACGTCCTGTAGCGGAAAAATTAAAGGTTTTTCGAGGAAAACTTATATAACACATATTAAAGTTCTTGAAAAGATCTTTAAATTGAGTGGTGGTAGAAGCCGTTAGCATGAAAACTAAGGAAGTTACAATCAAAATAAAATGATTGTCTTGGTTTTTGAGAAAAAAAAAATTAATGACGGAAAAAAATTAAACGTATTCCTTCTGCAATTTACTTTATTTATGTATTAACAGTAGATTCTGGGAATTTGAACGATTTTAGAAGCTTGAATTTTAAAAAAAATCATTTTTGAATAAAATTTTTCAATTTTTTAAAAAATCGCCGTTTTTCGAAATATTTCAAAAACTAACAAAGTTATAAAAAAATGATAGAATAAGAAATTGTAGGTTTTTTCTTACTGAACAATTTGCTTTTTTAAAATTTTTGTAGGACAAAATTTGACTAAGTTATGACCGTTACAAGCTCAAAACTAAGCTCCAAGACTGCCTTTCCTGAACCCTTTTAGCTTACAAATCTAAAAAACGAAGAGCTCAAAAACCTGCAAATCACAGAACTGATAGTGCTTTAAATATTATACATACACACACTTATCCATTTATAATGTATATTATATATATATATTTTTTTTATTTATATATAATGTTTTCCTA